TGTCTTTCAGCCATTTTAGATTCCTCTATTGAGAATTGTCTATTTAGTTCTGTACCCCATTTTTTAATTGGATTGTTTGGTGTTTCGGAGAATAGTTTCTTGAGTACTTTGTATATTTTGGAGATCAGCCCTCTGTCAGATGTGGGGTTGGTGAATATCTTTTCCCAGTCTGTGGGCTGTCATTTTGTCTTGCTTACAGTGTCCTTTGCCTTACAGAAGCTTCTCAGTTTCAGGAGGTCCCATTTATTAATTGTTGACCTCAGTGTTTGTGCTACTGGTGTTATGTTCAGGAAGCAGTCTCCTGTACCGATCAATTCAAGGGTATTTCCCACTTTATCTTCTAGTAGGTTCAGTGTGGCTGGGTTTATGTTGAGGTCTTTGATCCATTTTGACTTAAGTTTTGTGCAGGGCAAAAGGCTTGGGTCTATCTGTAGTCTTCTACATGTTTGCATCCAGTTATGCCAGCACCATTTGTTGAAGATGTTCTCTTTGTTCCAGCATATATATTTGGATTGTTCTAGGGCAAAAACTGAACACAAGGAATCTTCTTTGATTTCTTTCTTTAAAGATATAAAGTTCTTGTCTTAAAGATCTTTCACTTGTTTGGTTAGATTTACCCCAATCTATTTTATGTTGTTTGTGGCCATTGTGAAAGGTGATGTGTCTCTGATTTCTTTCTCAGCCTATTTATCATCTATATATAGGAAGGCTACTGATTTTTTGAGTTAATCTTGTATCCTGCCATTTTGCTGAAGGTGTTTATCAGCTGTAGGAGTTCCCTGGTTGAGTTTTTCGGGTCACTTATGTAGACTATCATATCATCTGCAAATAGTGAAAGTTTGACTTCTTCCTTTCCAATTTCTATCCCCTTGATCTTGTCTTTTTTGTCTTATTGCTCAATCTAGAACTTCAAGGACAATATTGCAGAGATATTGAGAGACTGGACAACCTTGTCTTGTTCCTGATTTTAGAGGAATCACATTGAGTTTCTCTCCATTTAATTTGATTTTGGTTGTTGGCTTGTTGTATATTGCCTTTATTATATTTTAGTATGTTCCTGTTATCCATGATCTCTCCAAGAGCTTTATCATGAAGGGGTGTTGGGTTTTGTCAAGGCTTTTTCAGCATCTAGTGAGATGATAACATACATTCTTTTCTCTCTTCTTTTTTTGACAGTGAGTCATGTATTCTCTTGGCAGCATTAATCTACTTCAGAGAAGTTGATGGATAACAAAGAAACTCCGCATGGTGTTTATTTTCTGTGTGCCCAAAAAGTCACTGGGCAAGAAAGTGCTCTTGCCTCAACTACTGACCATATGCTGTCCAAATTGGACAAGCAGGACACAAAAGAAAGGACTGCTTAACATTGGCAAGTCAGTGTAGAACAGCCATTTAGAATATCCTGCTTCACAGAAGAGTCTGTGAGATATGCTAGGCCCGTAGACTGAAGATGTGTGCCCCAACGTTCCAGACGACCCTTGGGTGACTGTCCAGGAAGCCAGTAGTTTCTGTTATTTCTCACATTTTTTTGGAAGTTACTTGCTTGCACTTCCTGCTTACTCAGATGATATTACTTCCTTCTTGAGTCTCTGATAGAGTTGAAGACTTTATAGTTACAGATTTCCTTGTTAACAGATTCAGAAAATAAATTCACCAAAGAAATGTAAAGTGTATAATGTTGAGAGACATAAAAAGATAGTTTTGGTAATACAAGTTAGAATAGCAAATGAATTAGGGACAACCTTTTGAACTCACCAAGATAGGATAGCTATGGAGCATTTTCTCTGAATTTGTTGTTAATGGACTAGACATTGTTGATGCATTTATTGCCTGTATATAGTTATTGTACTTATTGTATACAGTTTTTCTTATATTAGTTGTAACATTTTTTATTTTTAGACAAAAAGGGGAAATATGGTGATATCTTGTTTGTGTCACAAATAAAGCCTGTCTGAAGATTAGAGGGCGGAGCTAGCCACTAGCTAACCATTGAGGTCTTGAGGTCTATACAGACAGACAGGAAGTGAGATGGCTGGGTGGAGGGAGGAATATAGGCAGGAGTAGATAGGAGCTGAGTCTCTTTTAGGCTGAGAAGTTGGGGAGGTAAAAGGTGGGTGTGGTTGTCTCTTTTATCTCTCTGATCTTTCAGCATTTAACCCTATATCTGACTCTAGGCTTTCATTATTAGACCTATGCTACACCTACCACATCCAATGTTGCCACCAAAGATCACATGGAAGCCCTGGTTTGGGACTGCAATCTGTGGACTTATTGGAGTCAGGGGCTGTGCTGCCGCCAGAGCCGTCCTGATCTGAGTGGCCTGTGCTTCCTCCTAAGCCAAGAGCTACTGCTGAGGGCCATGTGTGGGTCCATGGGGTCTGTGTTGATGTCTGTGGCCTGTGTCACTTCAGGGGGCTTAGTAACCATGGGTGATGAAATCAGAGGGCCAGGCTGAGCCAGCCCCACCCTTCACTGACCCTGGGAAAGCTGGGTCTGCCCCTCACTGGATACTGCAATAAGAGAGCTGGCCCCAACCCTCATAAGAGAGCTGGCCCCAGTAAATCCTGCCCCCTGCACTTTGGAGAGATGGCCTCATTCCCTCACCACAAACAAGGGAGAACTGATCCCTATGGCATAAGCCTAGAAGAGCTGGTTCCACCCCTTTCCTGAGGTGGGTGGCACCAACCAGTGGCCCAGACTAACCAGCTCAGCTACCACCCTGGCCCACAGCAGGGCCTTGGGTTTGTTCACTCTAACATCTTCTCTATCTAGGGCATGCTGGCGCTCATGAAGGGAATGGTCCTATTTAACAACACCTATAGGAGCTCCATGACTCAGGGATCCTACATGATATCCCAGAGGCGTTTTGGTGAGAATCTAGTGAGGATGGTGTATCAGAAACCAGAGGCCTTGAACCAGACCAATGATTCACTGCTCCTTAAGTTGATTGACAAATGGGTACACCATGTGGCACACTGTGGCCCCCAATGCCACCAGGGCAAATGGAGAGGTGTTGGAGAGATGGGAAAGATGGAGAAGCAAAGAAGGATTTTTTTTGTTGTTGTTGTTTGGTTCTTTTTTGTTTGCTTGCTTGCTTGTTTTGAATTTTTTAAATTTTCTTTTGGGGAGCATTACATGGGTGAGGGGATGATATGGGAGAACTAGGATGTGACTGGAATTCGGGTACATGATGTAAATTCCCAAAGAATCAATAAAGAAATGATGTTAACTAAAAAAAATTCTGGGACTGGGAGGGCCGGTTTCGAATTTAAGAGCACTTGTTGCTCTTGCAGAGGTCCCTGGTTTGATTCCCAGCACCAACATGGTGGCTCACAACCATCTGTAACTCCAGCCCTGTGGTATCTGACATCCTCTGCTGTCCTCACCAGATACCAGGCATGCATGTTGTACACATTTAGGCAAAATACATATACACAATAAACCAATTTAAAAATACATAATCCTTGCTGTTTTATATCTTTCTAGCATGTCTTTTCTTTCATTCTGCAAGCACATGTACTCTAGAATGTATCAGGCCAGAGAGACCAGTGCACTTTGGTAAACTCTTTGTAGTGTTCTAAGACCCTTTATAACTGCCTTGATATTTGTGTAGCACAGATATCATAAGACTAAATTAAGTCTTGATAGTATCTGCTTCAAGGGCTGCAAGCTTGTATAAATACCCCCAATAGCACTTAGATTGTGCCCTCAAGAGGGGAGATGGCCTAGTATAATGTCCTTTATCTCCAATATTAGCTACTACATAGATAGTATATGTGTGTGGGGATATTGGGGTGGTATGTGTACACTTGTATATAATTATGTGTGCATGTGAAGGAAGATGCTAGGTGCCCTGCTCTATCACTATCTACCTCATTCCCTTGAGACAAAGGCTCACTGGACCAGTGGCCAGGTGGGCAGTCAGCAAACCCCAGCGATTCTCCTTCCTCTGCACTCATCCTTAGAGTTGGGGTTACTGGTGTTCTTTGTTGGTGCTAGGGATTTTATCTCAGTTCCTTGTACCTGCCCTCTGTATGTAAAGATTTGTAAGCCAGTTTTGTTTTAGAGTGAATGTCATACAATTTATTCTTTAAAACTAGTCACAGTAGAATGGGAAAGAGAGCTAACACAGTGGTTAAGAGCACTGACTGCTCTTCCAGAGGACCCAGGTTCAGTTCCCAGTCCCAACATGGTGGCTCATAAGAATATATAACACCAGTCCCAAGGGATCCAATACCTTCTTCTAGACTCCATAGGTAACACTAGACACATGGTGCACAGACATATATTCAGACAAAACCCTCACACAGAAAACTAAAAATAAAAGTAATGGATAGTCACAACAGATATGCCCTCTCGACTTTCCAGTTTCTGTCTTCCTTCTAGAAGAATCATGACACCTCGAGGGAGATCAGTCAAGAAACTGCCAGACCCTTCCTGGCACCGAATCTCCCAAAAGGACCTAGAGGCTGTACAAAGCAACCAGCATCATCGTCTGCCATTCCTGTCTTGCCCCTCCTCCCTCCAGTAGAGAGGTAAGTGCCAGGGTCTCTTCCAGCCCACCTTTCCCTCTTCGAGCCCCTAACCTGCGGCCATCATACCTTTCATGCCACCTCTAGGAACCTAGAGGAAAAACAAAGCATCCAGCATCAGCTACCATTCCTGTCTTGTCCCTGAACCCTCTGGGGGAGAGGGAGAGGAAGAGAGAGGGGGGACCTTGAGGCAGAGCAAAGCATCTTGCATCGGCTGCCATTCCAGTCTTTCCCCTTCACCCACCAGGAGAGAGGAGAGGATAGAGCCTTGAACCCATACCCACCAAGACAGGGAGAAAAAACACCTGAATCCACTGGAAGAAGAGATGGGAAGACAACACTATAAGAATACATCCACCAACAGAAAGATGTATATGACACCACCAGAGTCTAGAGATTCTACACTAGCAAGACCTGAACATCACAATGCAGATGAAGCAGAAGAGAATATCCTTAAAAACTACTTCATGAAAATGATAGAGGCCCTCAAAGAGGATATGAGACAATCCCTTAAAGAAATGGAAGAAAAAACAAACCAAAAAATGCAAGAAATCAACAAATCTTTAAAGAAAACAAGGAAAGCCAAGAAAAAAAAAACAATGAAGGAAACAATTCAAATAATTCAAACAATTCAAGACCTGAAAACTGAAATAAAGACAAAAAAGAAAACACAAAATGAGGGAATGCTGGAAATAGAAAAGCCAGGTAAATGATCAGGAACTATAGATGCAAGCATAACCAACAGAATACAAGAGATGGAATACAGAATCTCAGGCGCTGAAGATAAACTAGAGGAAATAGATTCATCGACTAAAGAAAATCTTAAATACAAAATATCCCTAACACAAAATATCCAGGAAATATGGGATACTGTGAAAAGACCAAACCTAAGTATAATAGGTATAGAAAAAGGCGAAAAGGCCCAGCTCAAAGGTATGGAAAACATATTCAACTTTTTTAAAATTTTTATTATTTTTATTTGGTCATGTTTACATATCTATCCCCCATTCCCTCACCCTCCCCTCCTCCCATGTTCTCCACCCAAACCCCCCCCCCCACTCCTGTCC